TTAAAGAAACAAAACTTAGAAATATACCTGGGTGACATAAATATTAATTTGTTAAATAGTGACTGTAATGATACAAATAATTACTTAAACACCTTAGGATATAATGGATTCATATCATATATAAACAAACCAACCAGAGTCACAAATGACTCAAAATCAGCCATTGATCATATTTTTATAAAAACGGAAGGTTGTTTAAAAAATCAAATAAAAACTGAAGCCATTATTTTCTGTACAAATATGACAGACCATTTCACACCATATGCATATTTCACTTTAAAAAAAAATAAATCAATCAAGCAAGCAAGTAATAGAAAAAAAAAACTATTTAAAAAATGAATCACAATAAATTAAATCAACTATTAAAAAATGAAAGGTGGGAAAATGTTATATTAGAAAATAACGCACAACTTTCTTATAATATATTTATTAAAACCCTTATAGATCTTATTAAATCATGCACAAGCGATCAAATAATTAAAAAAAGGTACAATAAGCTAAATCCTTGGATTACAACAGGTCTCATAGACTCTATAAACAAACGAGACCAACTAAAAAAAAAACTATTAAAAAATTATTCTGAACCCCTTAAACAAGAGTACATTAATTATAGAAATAGACTTAACTCATTATTAAAAAAGACTAAAAACGATTATTACAAAGCTGAAATAAATGAAGCTGCAACCAATTTAAAAAAAATCTGGAATATAATTAATAATATCACAAGTGGAGGAGCTAAAAATACAAATAAAATAGAAAATTCTAATATATTATTAAAAAATGGCACAACACTAAATAATAATACAAAAAAAGCTAAGGAATTTAACAAATTTTTTGCCAACGTTGGTAAAAATATGTCAAAAGCATTTCCAAAATTTGACTCCTGATAATTTTTTAAATGATACGGTAGTCGAACAATCAATATTTCTCGAGCCAGTAACCCCTAAAGAACTAATTATAATAATTTCAAACTTAAAAAATAACTGTGCTCCAGGTCCAGATAAGATAAATTCAAAAACTATAAAATCCATTCATAATTACATACTAGATCCTCTATGTTACATCATCAATCAATGTTTCTCAACCGGAGACATTCCGCAACAATGGAAAGTATCAAATATTACACCCATCTTTAAATCAGGTAAATCTAACCAAACGGAAAACTACAGGCCAATATCAGTTATAAATAATTTTGCTAAATTGTTTGAACAATGTCTAAAAAAACGATTAATAGATTTCTTTAATAAACATAAGTTAATAACGGATAGACAATTTGGATTTGTAAAAGGCTCCAATACTGAAAATGCTATAATGGATTTTGTTAACTTAGCGGTGAAGGCCATGGACAGTTCATTAAAAAGTATAGCAGTTTTTTTAGACCTTGCCAAAGCATCCGATACTGTGGATCACAATTTATTATTACAAAAATTAAATAATTATGGCATTAGAGGTATAGCTTCGGATTAAATGAAAAACTACTTGACTGATAGAATACAAAGAGTTAAAATTGGCAATGTAATAAGTTCCGATTGTAATGTTCTAACTGGAGTACCGCAGGGGACCATATTAGGACCAATACTATTTCTTGTATATATAAATAATATTACCAAAATTAACAATTTTAAAGGTCTTATAGTTTGGTACGCCGATGATACAGCACTAATATTTACTGAAACAACATGGGAAAAAGCCCAACAAATAGCGGAAACTAACTTGAAAAAAATCCATAACTGGCTAAATAATAATAAGCTATCACTTAATGTTAATAAAACTAAATATATTACGTTTTCCCCAACAGTAGTAGATCAACCAAACAACTTAATTATTAAATTCCACAAATCACAGTGTAATAAAGAAAAAGATTGTAACTGTCAATCTATACAAAAAACAAATTCACTAAAATACCTTGGAGTCATAACAGATCAAAATTTAAGATGGTCTGAGCATATTGGATATGTAACAAAAAGAATCCGAATTTTGATGCACAAATTCTATGAAATGCGTGATATATTAACTAAAAAAATTTAATTATAGTGTACAACTCTCTGGTTGAATCAATTATTAGGTATGGCATTACTGCCTGGGGCGCAACATTCAAAACAACACTCAATCCACTGCAAATATCACAAAATTTAATTCTAAAAATAATTTTTAAAAAAGAGAGGCTTTATTCCACACAAAACTTATATCAAGAAACTAATCTTTTAAATATTAGGTCAACTAAGAATGTTTGACCAACAAATTAAATGCCCTCAACGAAACATAAAAGAAACACGTTCTAAACTGAATCTAAATGTAACAACAGATTTATTTAAAAAAACTGTTACTCAGAACTCCTTTCTTTTCTTTGGGCCGAAATTATTTAATGTACTACCTAAACATATAAAAGAAATAAAAATATATAAAACATACAAAATAGAAGTAAAAAAGTATATACTCAATCATCCTTATATATTTCTGATGTTCTCATGATAATAACAGCTACTAAAATGTATTTAAATTAATTTAACCATAAATTAATAACTGATTATTACCCCCCCACCGAAGCTGCCATCATTACCTCTCTGAAAAAATCACAATTCAAAATGTCTTTATACATGAAAAATAGATGTAAAACACTACACACCCTTAAATACTGTAAACAGAGCGCCTCATAAAATTGCTTCACACAGGACAGGCAACCATGCCTAGAGTGGTAGCCATTTTATGAGACGCTAACTAATTGTAAAGTAATTGTATATAAATGTATATTAAAAAAAAATGTTAATAAAAAAAAAAATAAAAAAAAAATGTATTGTTACGCAGCACCCTGCAGTAGCCTGCGGCTATCATAGGAAACGTACAGATAGAAAAAGAAGTGGAATGTTACTCATCACTCTACAGTATGCTGCGGTCGTCATAAGTAAAAGTACAAGTAAAAGAATATTCCAGAAATGTCCAGAAATGTCCAGAAATGTCCAGAAATGTCCAGAAATGTCCAGAAATGTCCAGAAATGTCATTACCCGTCAAGAACATTCTAGATGACAGGTCGAGAAGGTTCGAGAAGGTCAAGAAAGCTATATAAGTCGACGACCTGACGTCAGAGTTTAGTTTTATGATAGACGTTATACGTGAATGTTATCAGTTGTAAAGTTATTGTCAAAGTTAAATTATAGTTATTGTAATAGTTGAGTTCAAATAAATTGTGATACCAAAAAACCAGTGTAACATTGGTGACAGCGGTGGGATCTAAACTAAAATTTCATGGTAAATACCAGATCTACGGAGTACGAAGCAGAAATGGACACTTCAGGCCCACCAGCATGGTTTTTGAAGATGGAAGCGGAAAAGGAACGGCGTAGGAAGGAAGAAGAGGAGGAGAGAGTGAGGCGAGAAGAGGAAAGGGAAAGGCGTAGGAAGGAAGAAGAGGAGGAAAAGGAACGGCGTAGGAAGGAAGAAGAGGAGGAAAAGGAAAATAAATTGTGATACCAAAAAATCAGTGTGTTCAGCGATAATTCTTTGCTACGTTGTCCGATTTCTATGATTCCTCTTTTGTTAGAAAGGGGATATCTTAGGGGTACTTCCATATACAATTGGTAAGGATCTGATGATCTATGAGAAAATCAAAAATCTCAATTTTTAAGAGCATCTGCACGATTTTTAAGTCAGTTTTATAAAATTACTTTTATGTACATCGACATTATCAACGACTCTATTAGGGGATCCGGAAATATATCAACATCAATAGATTTATTTATAAGAAAAGCCAATACTGGAGAACATTTCTTGATATACGAGTAAATCTTTAAGAATTTCGAATGTTACATTATCAAAACCTGATTTTTTTAAATGACTTCAAAAAAAGTAGGAGGTTCTCAATTTGTTGGAATTTTCTTTTATGTATGTATGTTAAGTGATAATTCTTTACCTTTTACCATATTCTTATGATTCTTTTTTTTAGAGGGGGTATCTCCGAAGTGGTCCCATATAAATTTAGTCAAGATCTGATGAGCTGTCTATGAGAAAATCATCAAATTCTTAATTTTTTTATGAATTTTTTACCACCTTGTCCGATTTCTATTATTTTGTTTTTCTAGAGGGTATCTCAGGGGTTGTCCCATAAATTTGCAAAATCATCTGCATGATTTTGGCGTCGGTTTTTTAAAATTACTTAAAACTTGTTATCATTTTTTAGAAAATACTTCTTTGTTACCTGTGCCTGATAGAATTATTAATATATTGTTTTTACTTTGGAAAAGTTTTGATTTCTCGTCTTTAGTTAATTTTACTGCCATATTTAAACCAATCGTAGTATATTGCTCCGAAAATTAATTGATATTTGTTTCTGGGTCATTTGTAATATTTCTATCTTCATTATACGCTACACACCCTGTACAAATTTTATTTCTTAAAACTCGACTTTTTTTAGAAATTATTCAAACAACCATTTTCCTGGAAGTTAAGGAGTCTGATTCGTTTTCTGTAGCTCACCCAGTAGTTACCTATATGTATATCAAATGTAAATAAACATCATTAATTAGTAATATAAAATAATAACAACTAGATTGGTAATCAGTTGCCTATTGAAGGCGAAGTAAAAATCAAGACTGCAAAAAAAACTCCTAATAAAAATTATAATTATTAGGTAACAAGTTAGTTATTTTAATTGATTGTAAACTATAAACCGATAACAATTATAATTGGCTCGTGTTCAAAATAATGTGAGACGCGTTCGTTAATATTTAAGCCGGTTTCAGTTTAAAGTCGGTCCTGGTTTTCCTGCCGCATGCCGCGGTTGGACTCGATGCAATTCTGGCCGAAAGGTGCATAATATGAAGATGAAGAGGTAAAACAGGGATTCCCCAAGCAATTAGTCATACGCACAACGAAAACCCGCTTGCGGTAGGTGGAATAAATGATAAAACTATAAATTGGCTCCTTCTCACATATCAGTTTCCATTCAAAATCAAGTTTTTAAGCGACGATCACTGTCCAGAGTGCCGTACTCTCTCAAATTAAATTCACACACGAAAATATACAAAAATTATTAAATGAAAATGACGGTTGTCGCTCGAGTGTTGATTTCAGTGCTTGTTGTGGTGTTGACTGCGCGAGTGTCGATGTGTTTCCGAAGGAACGTAACCGCAGAGAAAATCATGGAAAGAAATTTTAGAAAAACAGTTCAACTTTCGGATAAATTCAACTGTGGTCCCCCACAGAAGAGAACCATTTATCTGCATGAGATTGTTGGAGAGGAGGTGTGGAAAACTGAATATATGGAAAAAATAGAATCCGTAAGTTGTCAAGTTTCTTAATCTGTATATGGTGCCCTAAGAAATAAAATATTTAAATCGGGTCAGAGTCATTCCATACAAAATCGTCTGAAATTAAAAAAAATTGTTGCCGATCCATTTTATATTTTGGTGTAACTTTGAGGAACTATTCCTTAGGGTCCCAAAGAAGAAAATTTACACGAGTTTGATTTTTATAAGCGCTCGTTTCCACCTATTTAAATAAAGACTTTAAAAAAATCGATATTTTTAAGCTTATCGACTTTTCCTCTGAAATTTTTCTTTTTGAAGATAACTACATTATTAAAGCGGAATTCTGAGGGGGAAAGATAGTAGTTGAAGTGTAAGCATCGATAATTTGCTCAGTCAATACCTCTGATTAACGGCAGCGTGCTGAAAATGAGTGTTTTTTGATAATTTTTCGTGAATTTCAATCGACTCTAACGTCTTAACTGCTTAGACTTAGCAGCTTATGTTAATCAGAAATTAAGTATATATATCATAGATAAAATACAGCCACAAGTCAACCTGAGCGGCCCACTCTTTGCAGAAAAAAACTTTGCTTGAAGATTTGAAATTTTTAAAAATTGCATTATTCAGGTTACATAATGAACGTGTTGAATGCCAGATAAAAATCTGAAACTCTCAGAATCTAGTGTTCTTACCTTTAACTTTAAATGACCGTACCACTTGTTTTGTTATTTTTATGTTTAGTGCATGTGCGAGTCGGTTTTTTAAAGCAAAAATTAACTCAATTTTTTATTTCTTTCCAAATAACTGTTAGATATTAAAACACCTGAAGTTCGATAAAAAGGTAAGATATAACTTATATTTGCGAAAAAATATCAAGGAAAACTGAATTTATAAGATTATAAAATAAAAAAATGAAGTCTACAAAATAAAAGTGGACACACGGGATACACTAATTAGACGAATTGAGAATACTGCAGCCCGTATTAAAGAAGAAAGAAATGAATCAATTAGGAGAGCAACAAACGCTCTTCGTAGACGAGGCAGAAAATGTTTAGAAGTCAATGGCGGTATTTTTGAACATTTATTGAAAGAACGGTATGATTAACGGTATGTGTAAATTTGTTTATTTGTTAATATGCTATAACTTGAAAACAAATGAAAATCGGATGAGAACATATTAGTTTTTTTACATTATTTTCACGTGTATAATATACTCCTAGAGTTTGGTGCGCTCCTCCCGACTCACCCTGTATACCCTTAATTCCTGAGGAACATAAGCTGCTAAGTCTAAGCAGTTAAGACGTTAGAGTCGATTGAAATTCACGAAAAATGATCAAAAAACACTCATTTTCAGCACGATGCCGTTAATCAGAGGTATTTTTTTTTTAACTAAGTTAGTGGCACTGGATATAAACCAACAGGCCAGTCAATTGTCAGGTGAACAAATAAAAATATATAACAAACTTTATTACTTTACAAATTATATTAAAGTTGCTCTACCTTAATAACTAAAAATAACCTGAACTTAATAAGGTTTAAATGTTTTGTTTATTTATGTTTTTTTTATTTTTTTTTTTTTTTTATTTTTGTTTTTTTTTTATTTTTGTTTTTTTTTTATTTCTGTTTTTTTCCATTTTTTTTTTCTCTTCTGTCTTTATTTTTTTTTCTTTTCTTAACAAAGGTGTACAAATTTTTTTTTTATTGGTAGCATCGCTACTTACATGTTTTATTTCTATTTCCTAATTACAATTTTAATTTGAGTGTTTTGACAAAATTATAGAGTATGTTATATATACTGTCAAATGTCAGTAGATTTTTTAAATTTATAGGTAATTGAATTTTGTTGTTAATTAAGTTTTGGTATAATAAATTAATTTCTAAATCGTTTAGAATAAAATCCAAAAATATATGTTGTAAATCAGCAATCTCATCACAAATACACAAATCATTATCTATTAGACCTATTCGCTTCATATATTGAGGGTATAAAGCATGATTAGTTCTAATTCTGCTAATCGTTTGGATTAGTGGTCTATTTGACAGCTTATCAAACCACGGTTTTACCCTTATATTAGGTTGAATAGATTTATAAAAATTACCTGTTTCCTTCTCTACATATTTTGCTTGCCAATTTTGATCCCTTTTATATTTGAAACAAGTATTTAGATCGGATAGGGGTATTTTAAAATTACTCATGTAATTAAGTTTTGCTGCAATTCTAAGCAGTTAAGACGTTAGAGTCGATTGAAATTCACGAAAAATGATCAAAAAACACTCATTTTCAGCACGATGCCGTTAATCAGAGGTATTGACTGAGCAAATTATCGATGCTTACACTTAAACTACTATCTTTCCCCCCTCAGAATTCCGCTTTAATAATGTAGTTATCTTCAAAAAGAAAAATTTCAGAGGAAAAGTCGATAAGGCTTGAAAATATCGATTTGTTTAAAGTCTTTATTTAAATAGGCGGAAACGAGTGCTTATAAAAATCAAACTCGTGTAAATTTTCTTCTTTGAGACCCTAAGCAATTAGACGATTTTAAATAGAATGACTCGTCAGTCAATCTCACAAAAAAGAACAAACTACCAACTAATAATAGTTTTTATTACAATGTGTCGAAAAACGTCGTTTTTCGGACAGAAAACGTAATCGAAAAGAACTTTTTTATATACTTCAAATGAACTGCTATAGAATACTATTCTTTTTTATTTTCAGTTTTCTTATTAATACTGCTGGGGCTATAATTTTTGTTTTCTTTTATAATTTAGTAATCCATAATCCTCATGCATATCAAATTTGAATGCAAATATTTTTAATTGAATAAGAGGAAAACTAAAATTACATTAATTGATAGAAGCACACTGACATAACAGCAAATATTCAATTGTTATCAAGAATATACTTACCTATTCTTATACAGGGTGTTTGGTAAACAAAATGTCGACAGTAATAACATTTTATTATTAAAAAGTACGTGTAAAGTTGCTTACTCTAAAAGAAATGTTTAAAATTACTTCCTCCAGCTTGTATATTCAATCTTCTCATCATTGACTGCCGAACTCTTTCAAACACACACTGTATCTTCGAAACAAAGCGGGTTTTCACAAATCATCAAATTACAAAATATTAGAATAGTCCAAGGAATAATCCCTTGAATTTTTGCCGCATGTTTACCAAACACAGATGAGGCTGAAGCTAGCAGACAAACTAGAAGTCAAAACTGCGCGGCTGTCCCTTAATGTTTTGATATTGTTATTCGGCAAAATCTTTAGGTGGACTTTAGTATCATGAAAGTATAGAAATAAATAAAAATTAGTGTAGATATTTATTGAAAAAAAAAAATGGATTAATTCAATTTGAATTATTAGTTAAAATAAGATAATCTTACAGAAAGACGGGGATAAAACAAACAAATTTACAATGCGATTATAAATATAATTTTTATACCAAATATTTATTAGATTTTGATAATTTATTAAACAAAAAATTATGGCTAAGCAATGTTTTAAAATATATCTTTTTGGTCTTTTTAAAGTCAGGTGTTTTGTCGTCGAACGACTATGAGAACAAAGAGACCAAAAAACCACATTTAGCACGAATGCACAATTACTGTTTCGCGGAAAAACATTATTATTAAAAACCAATATTTAGCACGAAATTTCAGATATAATTTTTAGTACAAATGATTTAATACATTAGTATCATTCAAAAACACAATAAATCATTACATAACAAGATCTCTAAATACGTTTTTTAGGTATTTAAAAATGCGCGATTTCTCGAATAAACTTTAGTTTATCAAAATGACAAAAACCAATATTTATCACGAAAATTCAGTTATAATTTTTAGGACAAATGATTCAGTACTTTAGTATCATTTAAAAACAGGCTAAATCATTACATAACAGGATCTCTAAATACGTTTCTTAGGTATTTAAAAATGCGCGGTTCAGCTGATAATAGTAAAGTTTATCCGCGGAATCGTACATTTTTAAAAACCTAAAAACCGTATTTGGAGGTCTTGCTATGTCATGATTTATTTTTTTGAATTATACTAATATATGGAGTCATTCATACTAAAAATTATATCTGGATTTTCGTGCTAAATGTTGGTTTCTCTTATTTTGACAGAGTAATGTTTATCAGCGAAATCGCGCATTTTTAAATACCTAAAAAACGTATTTAGAGATGTTGCTATGTAATGATTTATCGTGTTTTTGAATAATACTAACGTAGTGAATCATTTGTCCTAAAAATTATACCTGGATTTTCGTGCTAAATATTGGTTTTTGTCATTTTGATATAGTAAGGTTTATCCGCGGAAAAATCGAACATATTTTCATATATTTTTGGTAACTAAAAGAGCTTATTACAGTACATCATCAACTGATCAAAGTTTTAAAACAATTTCCTTACTTATTGCCTGGAAATTTTTATAATGAATCGGGGACCCTCTTTAGTTACTACATTCCTTAACTCTCCGAGATAGGGTTGCCACCTTTTCATTTCCTAAAATCCGGATATGATCGATTCAAGCTAGGGGATACATATAACATACCTATACTTTATTATATATATATATTTTTTTAAATAAAACCTTGATGCGCTTTGTTATAGGTTGCAGTTCATTGCATTTTGGAAAAAAATAAAAATGGGAATCTACTAATTAAATTTAAAATTTTTACATACCTACCCAAATCTTATTTTACATTTTCAAAAAATAACAGAATGACACGAGATTATTAATTATAACTAGGTATGTTATTTAAATTTAACAAACAATTAAAAATAGACCTCATTCCTCATTTTTTTAAACGCCTAGGTAGGTACTTTGGACTTTTTAAAGTGGTTAATAAAAAACAAAAACTTATAATAAAAATAAAACGAAGAACAAAACATAATGGGCACCTTGCCCAATTTTTTTTTTTTTAGATTAATATTAATTTATTTAAAATCGTTAATTTATACCTATTAGGTAGGTATTAAAAACTTTATAAAACAACAATGCTGTGCTCATAATTTAGTTCAG